TCATACAAAATTTACCTTATTATGGTTACGCATTACTTATATAGTTAAAAGATGAGCAACAAAACGTCATTAGTGATTATATAATTGTGACTTATAAAACAAGGTACAATACTTGCACCATAGCTTATTCGGACTCTCTCGGTGATGTTTTTGTTTATACAAACGCAGAAGGGATATGCGCCTTATGTCGGCGGGCGTGCAAGTTTAAGGAATCATCCATTGAGAGGCATATCAAACAAATAATTAATGGAAAGAAGGAGAGAGAAGGAAACGATTACGGCGCATACAAGTCAAATGTGGTCTGTAGCTGACGATCAGTCATGGACAGCATTGTGTTTGGATCATTTAAGAATCGCAAGCTATTGATTTTTAATTACGTCATTGTATAAACAGCGGCCCACCGGACTGACTCGGGATAACGCCAAGGTTTCATAAGCCCGTACGTGCATAAATCTCTTGTTCTCATATTCCCAAAATGGAGCGATCATAGAGTGTATAAAGTTTTGGGGTGATTCATCATCGGAACTTTCTATTGTAATTGGGCAGGGTTACCCCAAAATTTTTTTGGTTGCATAACAAACCCTGTCTACCTGGTGACAGTCACCAATAATCAACTCGGCATCCCATGCAGCACTAGAATTTATCGCAAACAGAATTTTAAATAAAATACATACGCACCACGTACGAGTGATGCAATTTTATGTTATGGTTTTTAATAGGTTTTTAATTAATTCGATCCCATCGTTTATTCTTCTTTGTCTTGTTAATATCATGCTTAAATTTTGATAAAAGCAAAATTATTCGTTTTGCCAATCCAAGATCAACACTTACATTATCCAGAAAACGCCATTTTGTTTACTTGATAAGACTCGCTGTTTGTATTAAAAGCAGCTTTAACAAGAGTGACTATATCTTACCACGCAACATCTAACCGTTTTAAACATTCCCATTCTCATAGCAAGCATCAAGATTATATTGTGCGTTGACACGTCCTACGTGTTGTTTAGCCTTATCCTTATGGTTTTGAAACGTGCTGTAATATTTGTTCCAATTTTTACGTAAATTGGTAAAAATAATAAAGTTTATGCACTAAATATGCTGGTATTTAATATAAAAAGTTTAATGTATATGTTGTGGCCAGAATAAAACGCATAATTTATATAATTATATAAACTGTTTGTTCAATAACTAAAACTACAACTTATAGCATGTTATGTAGAATGTTAAAATTTGTTATTTAAAATTATATTTTGTAATGTAGTTTTAAAATTATAGTGTTAGTGTTGTACCTTAGTTGGGACTGTCTCAATCTGGACTGAGACAATTGAATTCTGAACTAAGTGACTAGTTCAGAATTAAACAAGTGCCAAAACTCTACCATAATATTATATAGAGATTGTAGTATTGCAATAAAATTTAAGTTGCCAAGTAAACCCAAAAATTAAAAGTCAGCTGATTAATATTAAAAGGCTAAAGAGACACACAACTGCCCCAAGACATTAAAAAATTGTAACATACTACATTGTCATAATTTGTCTTAGCCGGATGTGGTTTTATAAAGTTTGCATAACAAATACATAACTATAATGTTAAATTAAATTTGTTGTATTTGTCAAAAACATTACTAGTGAGAATGTTTTAAACAAGACTATTAATGAGGTATTTTGCACAATTAATTGACACTAGAAAAGGTTACAATTTAATAATTTGAACATTTCTTTTTCTTTGATACTTAATGGTTTTGTTATTTTAAATCAATGACATTTTATAATATATACAGTACAACAAACTAACGTTATAAAATTATTATTCATTAAATAGTTAGCTATAACACCATGCTTATTTCTAACTTTTTTATTGTACTCAATTTTAATAAAATTTGTAATATCACAATTGCTTTACGTCTATTTTTTCTATAAAAAGGTGCCTTGCTAGAAAGCTATTTTTGTTATTTACATTTACCGTTTGTGCTGTATTGGCCAGATTATACAAATTATTGGTCGTATTATGGTTTTAATACCAAATAGTTGATAGTATCAAACTGCTAGCCTTTGATAGTGCACATTCTAAAAATAATAAATTAACGATAAAAACCATAAAATTATACCAAAACAAATCAGACTTTAACTCTTTAATAGTGCTTTTGGAGCCAACTGTTAATAAATTTATAAAGTACACCAATTTCTGTCTTAAGGTTTATTACAGTACACACACAAACTTATATATACAATTATATAACTGTGGCAGAGCTGTTAAAAGCAATATCAGTATTTGTCACAATATTGAATAGTACAGTAATTAATATTCTTGTAAATTTAAGACTATATGTGTCACGCCTTGTCTCGTACTCTTGATAAAAGTTATCACAATCAACGATTGTAATCGTTTTAGCAAAAATTTATTTCGAATACAATTACGCCTATTATATTATTATTTAATTGTTTTTTATTCTAATAATAATCTCTCCTGAGTCGTAGTTAAAAATAGGTTTCTTATTATTAAATGAAAAGGGTTAGTATAACTCTGATAAATGCTATGTAATGAGGTTTTAACGCAACTTTACTTGGCATTTTTATCTTATTGTTTGCTTACAACAAGACCAACAAAGGAAACAGGTACTTTGTCTCTGCTTCTAAAATTTAGATCAGAGCGCCAAGATTTACACCTCTCAAGTTGAAAATCAGAAAACTGACCGATCGGTTGCTGATAGCAGTTATTTCTCTTATAAACAGGATTATAATTCAAGTCTGCTGACAATGTGATGGTTTATGGCTGTCATAAATTGCCTGTCAATCAAACAATAAATAATAATTAAAAATTTTTTTCATGCAAGATTTTAACTCATTATCAGTATGCAGTTTTCGAATCCGATTCTAGTTTTTGAAGACTAAGAGCTGGTATTTTAAATCAAAGTTTTGGTTTCCAAATACGATGCAACATTCGCTAATTATCATTGTATTTCATGTTAGAGCCACAGATGCCGTCACGCTTACTGTCGTCTATGCGTGTACGTTTAGTTATAACGCATTTGTACTAGACTTTTACATTTGCCAAGGACAGTCGCCGGTTTTAATAATAACAATGTCAGCAAATTTCTTTTATTGTACGACAATTTTATCCAACTATAATAATAACGTTTGTAAGGCTCGAATTGGATTGCTGTCTACAGAGAGACGATGAAAAAAATGATACGTGCAGGTAAATTTTAATAGCTTTTTGCTAAAATACCACGCGCATCTGAATAGTGCGAATACAAATTTCAAACTGCAAGACAAAATGTTGGCAGCCTAAAAAATATCTTTCGTAACTCGACTTGTTTAGACAATAATTTTGATTTACATTGTTTAAATATCGTAGAATTAATCTGTGTTTGACATTAGATCTTACAAAAGCGAGAATATCCTTATCAATAAGAGAGCTAGCTTGTGTAGATCGATTCATCTTGCAAAGGAGGGAAGGCTTATTTCTTTCAATATTTGATGTTCATCTTCTCTTCTTGTTTTAGTCAATTTTGCTTTATCTATCTTATATCTTCGGCCTCTTCTCTAATCTTCAGGATCTTCTGACTATCATTACGTTGTGTATTATTATGTAATACTGATCAGTGACATCCACGTGTCCGATTGGAGATGTCAAATAATGTAACTCCAGTCAAGTGCTTGCATGTTAATGGTACAATTTATGACATTGCAGCACACTAATATACATGCATTGGCAATTGATCTCTGTGTAGGTAACGACCAAATTGTCTAATGCGTTTAATTTACACAATTTGAATGTGATGGGTACTATTTCTATGTAAGAAACATAGATGGAAATGATAGTCGTATGGAGTGCATGTAATGATCTCGTCAATCTTTGTCACATTCTAATCATCGGTATGATTTCCTAATACGTTGATGTGTCAACGGACCTTATTATCAATGTACTCAGTTTCTTTTTCTGTTTATATCCTTCCGAAGTAGCCATCGAGACCCATCGTTCGTTTTCATGCGACAGATGGTTGGTTATGAGTATGTGGTTAATTTGGACGAATTAAATGACTAATTGATCCGCTTTGCCAATCTAATTCTCTCAAGCTTATGTGTTATACAGTACACGGCCTACCCCGAATGTACAATCATGCGCCTGTCGATATCAACAATTGTTTCTTTCATGTCGCCATGTTCAAATATATGCGATGCAACTAATAAACAATACCGTATGTATATAACATACTTTTTCTCCTGCATTTGATGGGGGGGGGGCTCACCCATCTTGCACATAGTATCACATAATACGCTGAACGACACACAAGGCATCCACCAAGCAAAAAGCATTCCAATTAAGCTTAACAAATCACAAACAATTCAATTTTTGAATGTTCAAGTACTGCATCTAAATATATAAATAAGGTTATCAAGGGATCATACAAACTACATAACATTTTATTCGTTCACTATATATGGTCTTCATACTGTCCTGTCTTGGGCTTTGATTCCCCTTCCCCCAAGCTGCAGCCTTCGTCCATGATATCATGATTTCATCTGTAGGCGTTGCACAGCACAGCAAATGTTACACACCATCACCAGAAACAATGCGATACAAACAAAGAAGTACAGTTTCCTACGCACCAATCTATTTGCGTCACTTAACATATACACAATGTGACAGCTCGAGGCAAACCTAAAATTACAGGGGTCAAAACCAAAAGCACATTTGATTATATCACCATCACCAAGCATATAGGGTGCGGCGTATTGAGGTGTGTGTGTGTGCGTTTAGAAAAAATTTTTTCTTCACCTTTGAAAAAACTTGCATGATACACCACAGCCAGCATCATGCATAGTAGTGTATACGCCCCAAATAAACCAACATTGTCCAATCATGCAAAATATCATAAACCGGTGAATTTTTACGACTTTTTTATACGTCTATTGATTATGACGTCATGACAGTCTTATCCGGCAGGCAAAGAAGAGATAGTAATAGTATCATCTCCTCGCTCGCATATTCCCAACATGTCGTGGTTTCAGAAGACAATAACTCTGCCATCAAAGCGTCGAGGGTGTCATCTGATAACCCATGAAATAGAGAGACAAATACCTGAGCTGAGGGAATACAAAATTGGCATGGCCAACGTTTTCTGTATGTACAATGAAGAGATACATTCACCAGTCGCTCAGTTTATGCATGCATTCTGACCTGCTCTTTAGTAAAACACACCTCTGCATCTCTCTGTTTGAACGAAAATGCGGATCCGGATGTACGTGTTGATATGGAAATGGGTCTGAATAACATTGTACCCGAAACGCTTCCCTACGTACATGACGCGGAAGGATCTGATGATATGGTAAGACGGGTAAAATGATGGTATTTGCAGGCTGTGATGGCGCGAAATTCATAAAAAATTAAAGAGGGAAAATGATAATTTAATGATATAGTGCATCTGTCGGCACTTTACTCGCATTGACATTATTCATTTTACAAACCCCTGTTCCTTGATTTTCGCATTTTTGATTAGACGTTACCAACTCAATTATTCATTTACTCTTTATTTTACGACTCATAGCCTGCGCATCTCAAATGTGCCATAATCGGAACATCGCTCAATATTCCAGTTACATCCGGCAGACTCAATTTGGGTACATGGCAGGGGTAAGCGTACGATTGTAGTCTGGAAATTGTATGACATTCACAAACCTCACGATGTTTAATGCTCGTCGTTATTTAGAATATACCTGTGTGAACACAGAAATCACGCATCAGCAAGAACTGTCGTTGTTACTATCCAAGGTCAAAAAAAGTAGATTTCGAAAAGGCATTGCTATAACATGTCTATCATTGATTGTAATGTCGTTGAAATGTGTGTATTTGCGAACAATTTTTCGGACAAATTTTCCATCCTGACATCGTTATCAGTATCAATGGTTTGCCGAGTAATACCCCTATTATTTCATTATATTTTTTAGTGTCGCCAGGATCTAGCGGAATATCACTAGTCAAAGTTATATGCGTGATGACACGGGTACTCGCACGACGAGGATTGTGTCATCCGAGAAACTACTAAAGCGAATGCTAAATCAGGCGCATAGTATCGTGACTTGATGATCTGAATACACTCGTGTCGTCAATCGAAATTGCTGTTTTGTTTCAAAATATAACGAGCTATACTTTGGTGAAGTTGCTTTTGTTATGCACGTTTTTATAATTATTTGCAAAGACGGTGCTTTTTTGTTTCGATGCCAAATGGCATATCAATGCTTCGATTACATCCAACACATTGGGACCCCTGTTACTATTACTAGGTTCACTACTCTGCCAAAATTCTCAAGGAATATATAGTAATAGATAAAGAAAATATTACTTATGGAATTTACCAGGAAGAAAAAGTCAAAATCAATAAATCTAATTAACTCTAACTTCTTAATTGTGATGAACCAAGAAAGAATAAGAAACTGAAATAGAAGAAACATAAAAAAATCCAGCAGACATGTGTCAAGTGAACTTGCAATTTTTTCACTTTTTTTTGTAAGCATATGAATAATAGTGATTTTGAAACAAATGGTATGAGCCAATGTGATTGAGAACATCTACATATATTCTCAATGCTAAGGGAAATTATACCAAGAATGTAATAATAAATAAGGACGAGTATGAAAAATATGCTATTCTCTATCCCAGCTACCAGGTAGGGAAGTTTGTTTTTTTCCAAAATAAAAATAAAAAAATGTGTCTCAAAGTAATTGCATATTAAGATGTCATATTGTTGAATAAGCAGTTGTGGACTTGCCACTCTGATGGTGACCATATAAGAGGCAAAATTTGCCATTAATATTAACAAGAGCATCACTCAACTTTTTGACCAATTTCTTAGGTTTGATGTAGTAGTAGTAATTAATTTCTGGATGAGTTCTGTTGGTGGGCGTAAAGGTGTAGAGATCTCCAAGCATACCCTGTGACAGTTTCAAATGTTTGACATTGATGAAATCACCCATTTTGGAAGCTGATTTTTGAAGATGTTAACAATGATATAGATAGTGAATAAAGTAGTGACAAGGTAAGCAGCATGGCATTTCATGCACAACAATTGGGCATGGTTGAATTTTTTCAAAAGACACATACTATTCAATTCCTCAACATGGTCAGAGATGAGAATTGCTGGTCCATGATGCATGCCCATTTCCTTAAGGTCTTGTTTAGTTAGTATTAGCTTCACAAATGCAAGCACCTATAACTTCATTGTCCTCCAGTGTCACAAGATCATTTGGGTCTAGTAATAACCACACTGTCAACAAGTGACAGGTTATGCACTAGTAATAATAATAATAATAAGTTATGGACTTGTTAATTTTAATTTTCCCTTTATTATTATTGTACCAGAATGTGATGAATATAAACCATAATAGGATTAATATTAAATATAGGATTATCTCTATATATAAAAATATTAATATGAAACTAAATTACATTAAATCCATCATGGAACCCAAGAATTACAGCACTATTAGAAGTATTTTAAAGGAGAAAATTGCTCTACCTACTTTTAAAATGAATGATACTCAAACTCTCCAAGAATATCTAGATCAAGAAAAATTTACTTATGAAATTTACCAACAAAAATGAAAAAATAAATGAGCATTAACTTCAAGTTATGATGAACCAAGAAAGAAAAGAAACCTGGCAGAATAAACAATCAAATCATTATTAATCATCATCCTCTTCATCATCCTCTTCTTCTAGTTCAGCAGGAGAGTTTCATCATTGTAATTGAGCCAGGAGTTTTCTTTTCCAGATGGCTCAACCAAGACTACTGAGGAGTAAGAGTATTCCCAGCAAAGCTCCTCAATACTCAAGCAGAAGGATTATTAATTCTTCAGAAATCTTCTTGTTTATTATTCTCAAAAGGCTTTTCATATTGCTTCTTGGCATGATTTTGTCCACCTAACTTTTCTGCATAATACTTAACAATTCCTTCTTCAGTAAATTTTTTCCCATCCCCATATTTATATTTAGATTTATCTAGCCTTTTGTCACCATCTTTGTAATCTTTCATCTCTTTTAAGATTTGTTTTTTGCAGATTACTATCCACATCTAATTCCTGTAAAGCAATAGTCTCTACCACTATTTCAGGGTCCCTGGTAAAGAATCAATCTAATCACTCTTGATTGTTAGCATTAGCATTGGCTTGGGGAAGGCCATAAGTATCATCCCTTAATTCAGGTTTTTTAGCTAAAGTTTCTTTACAGTATTTAACCAATTCAGCTTTATTGATTTTACTGCTTGCTTCATTAACTTTGTCAGCAATATTTTTAATTTCATTAGCATTGGTTTTAAAATCAACATTTTTTGAATAGTCAATATCAATTCATTTTTGAGCATTTTACGAAAAACATTAAACTCTACAATCCTCAATGCATTTGTTAGTTCACTAGTACTAGGAAGAATCTCTTTACTCAATTGGTACTGGAGTTCCTGCTAAATATCTTTTAATTTCTTCTAACTCATTTTTCTCAACTGGATCTAACATAATTCTTGTTTCTTTACCTTCTAAAGCAGACTTCAAAGTTTTCAAATGAGCTCTTACTGCTACTTCATTGTGTCAAGGTTCACCATCAGCTTTTTTCCAACCATCTAATCTCTCAGCAAAATCACTTCCCAGACTTGTTCAAGAATAATACTCAGCAAAATTACCTCTTAATGCTTTTTCATCATTATCTAAAACTGTTCTTAAAGCAGTTACATCAAATACATCAGGTCCAGTCAGAACAGCTGGGTATAAATCAGGATATTCATTTTGTCATTTTTCTACTAAACCTAAAATGCTTCTCAAAAATAACACTTTTTTGTAACTCTTAACTCCAGATTTATTGTTGATTTTATTAAATAATAACACATTTTAACCATCTGTAGTGTTTCATAGATTTATTAGTATTTTTTTAATTCAAAACAACACATTGTCGTCTAAGTTTGAAACCGTTCCTGGTTGAATAAGATTACGTTAGTATTTTTTAATTTTAAACAACACATTTCCGCCTAATTTTGAAAATATGCTGGCTGGAATGTTACATATATTGAGATTAAATTATTATTGTTTAATTCAAGACGACCAGGCTTACACGTTTCAAAATTAGACAAAAATGTGTTGGCATGTTACGAATATTGAGATTACATTATAATTAGTATTTTTTTAATTCTAAACAACATATTTTCGCCGGATTTTGAAAACGTACCTGGTTAACATGTTACATATATTGAGATTACATTAGTATTTTTTAATTCAAAACGACGCATTTCCGCCTAAATTTGAAAACATGCCTGGCTGAGATGTTACAGTACATATACAGTATTAGTATTTTTTAATTATAAACAAGATTACATTATTATTTTTTAATTCTAAACAACACAGTTCCGCTTACTTTTGAAAACGTGCCTGGCTGAGATGTTACATATATAGCGGTTACATTTTAAAACGACACATTTCCGCCTACTACTACGTGTCTGGCTGACATGTTACATAGATTGAGATTACAATAGTATTCTTTAATTCAAAACGATACAGTCTGTCTGAAATGTTACATACATATAATAGGTAGCATGAGTATTCAGGCAATACTGATTTCAGTAAGATGGCATCCACAAATCAGTTGAGAATAATAATAATCTGGAATGTGTCATTTTTAGGGATAAAATAGAACCGGGAGTTGTCAATACTGCACGGCCTATAACACATGACCGGAATACTTCTAACATGCATTTCTGACAGATTTCGGAAACAAATCAGCAGCTTAATTGAGGCAGAAATTGTTTATTTATACTACAAAATACATAATAAATAAAAATATATACTTATATTTATATTGCTTAAAATACATATTATGTCTTACTCCTATTATCTACCTATGATTGTCTAATATAACCAGTAAGAGAGGAAATTATCCAATAGTAAAAACCTAACCGTACTTTATATTAAATGGACATAGTCCAGTGCTTCGTCATCATTATCATCACCGACCTATGTTGACTATTCACTTTCATCATGTCAGTCAGGACAACCCCATGAGTTATGGTCCCGATGCTTGCTGACTTGTGTTGGGTAGCCAAGGTAAACTCATGCAAAGTTTGAGAATCTGCAGTAGGCTTGTGAAAGTAACTGTTCTTGATTGATTTAAATTGGTTTGTGGGGCAGGTAGGGTTGGAAACTGGGGTGCCGGATGGTCTTATAGGCTAAGAGTTCTTCTCAGCATTGGCAAACTGTCTTCCATGATTAACGAAAACGTTTCCAAGGAAAGTCTGGCGGTAATAGCCAGCTGTTGGAATAAGCCAATAGCTCCTGGGGAGATGCCACCGGCGAAACTAGCTGCGTTTCTGCAAAATTAACTAAAAGTGACGGTTTATGAGCAAAGACAAACGATATGAACAAGAACAATAACAACGATTCTTGTAGACTATACTTGCTGGTCTGTTCACCAGTCTGTTCACTGGTCTGTTCAGCAGTCGAAGTGCTGCCACGTATCTTTTCATTATCTATGCGAGCAAAGTACTTTCTAACGTCCGTGCTGACACTTGACGGAAGCAGTTTGCTCACTTTTGTCTGGAAAAGTTGCAGGTAATTTTAGTAATTCCTCAAGCGACAATACGAGTTCACTCCCGCCAAGATAAATGTCATGGTAGACATTACGAGTAATTTTATAGAAGTGTTTGATATTTAGCTTGTATTGGAGAGGTTTATAATTCAATAAAGCCTGATGAGAAATGTGGCCTTCAACAAGTCTGGGACTATATCATTGGCGACCAGGCCAGGCAGAA